ATGATATTTTGGCTCTCTCAGAGGGTCAATTATGCATAAATTGGTTTTCCTCGTTTTTCTCGGAAATAAAGCGATATTTTGGCAAATGAAGTATACCACGGGTTATATCGCATCAAGGTCTTCCTAATGCTAAAATATGAGAAAATTCGATTTTTCGACTGTTGCCGGCGTATGTTCGATTTTTGCTGACATCCTCTCCTAAATGTTTTTCAGGTTGTTTGGGATCAATGTCTTTCCACTCTGGAAAGAGCTGAGGAAGATGTCCTAGTTTGGCTTCCAGTACTGGGATTAATTTATAAGCAACAAACTGGTTCCCTTCTCCTGATAGGTGAAGTCCATCACTGACATATCTTGACCAATTCTGTTGATAGAAATCGTGCTGAGTTATGAACTTATCAGTTTTGAAATTCGACTAATTTTTTTTCAGCTGTTCTTCATCAGAACTGTTTCCCTCCCCCCAGTCCCCACTTCCCTTGCTATCCAAGCTTGCTTTTCTCCCTCACAGCAGTTTCTTTTTCCCTTCTCCACACCACAATTCTTTCTTCCTCCCCAGCTTTCCTCTCCCACACCCCATTCCTTTCTCTATTCCCCTTTCTTTCCTATTCTTTTTCCTAACCCCTGTTTCTTAATTCCCCCACTCCTGTTCCCTCCCCCACCCCCCACCTTTCTCCACCCTCTTCTTCCCAACTTGCTCCACTCTTCTCCACTCCTTTCTGCTTTCCTCTACTCTCTCCTTCTCCACTCAACTTCTTATTTCCGCAGTCCCACATTCCCTACTCCTTCTCCCCTCCCCCTGCTTCCTATAAAGTTTTAGGGATGCTTTAGCATCACCACAATGATATTCGCTGCAGTGGTTACCACCATTGTAGACAAAACTCTAATGCTAGAACATACAACTAGTGTAGAAACCACAAAACTTTATAATTCAAAATGTTTAACTTTAATTAATAAGTGTGTACAAATATAATAGACCTCACCTCCTCCTTTGGCATATCACCATTGAGATCAATAACCTCTACACCAAGCTTTGCACAAAGGTCAGCACAAGCTTTAGCAAAGGACCTGGTTCTTGAGCTGGATAAATTCATTTCCCTACCTGTGATTTCAAACATAAGTTTTAGATCACATGCACAGGATTTTTAACAGTCTTAATTTAGTTTTACTTAAATAAAGATGAGATTAGTAGATGACAATGCAGCCGCTCTACCTGTAGAAGATAAAGTGAATATGAACTCTGACTCAAAATCATGAATCAGTAATGTGTGTTGTCAATAGAGGTTTTATACCATCACATGCCCATGCCAATAATACAGCTTGGGCTGCCTGTGGTTAGATGGCTAAACAATAAAATTCCTTTGTTTTTAGCACAGGTAGCCCAAGCTTGGTTTCTGTGGTGTCCTGTTATAAGGAAATGTATGGAGATTCATCAAAAATTTCAATAAAATCATTGAAACGTGAAATAAAGCCTCGAAATTTTACTCGATCATTGAGAAATAGCACTTCTTTCACTCTGCGTGGTTATTTTTTGAATTTAGCCCGTTTGAAGGATTTTTCCCCCCACCACTAAGAAAAAAGAGAAGGTTGGAAACTCGAGTCCCAAAAGCGAACCATCACGGGTCTTTGAAACCTCGTACGTCTTCAAATTTTCTTTCCAGTGCCAAATTTTAGTCATGACCCTTCTCTCACATCCCTATAGAACCGAGAAAGTCGCATTAGAGATTAATCTTTGCATCTTTAAGCCATGAAATTTGCCTGTATTCACATACTACCTCGCTGTTCTGACCCATACTTGGAGCTCACTGTACACCAGTTCAACGGATTTCTTTCGGCAATCGACCCGAGGTCACGCCGGAAGTCTTCGTATCGTAAATGCGGGTTGGATTTGGATATAGTCTTTCTTCGAAATCATGGTGAGTGTATTTTTTAACGGCCTAAGATACAAAAGTATTTCTTCCGGCGTGACCTCAGGTCGGTTGCCGAAAGAAATCCGTTGAACTGGTGTACAGTGAGCTCCAAGTATGGGTCAGAACAAGCGAGGTAGTATGTGAATACAGGCAAATTTCATGGCTTAAAGACGCAAAGATTAATCTCTAATGCGACTTTCTCAGTTCTATAGGGATGTGAGAGAATGGTCGTGACTAAAATTTGGCGCTGGAAAGAAAATTCGAAGACGTACGAGRTTTCAAAGACCCGTGATGGTTCGCTTTTGGGACTCGAGTTTCCAACCTTCTCTAATTTCTTACTGGTGGGGGAAAAAATCTTAAAATGGGCTAAATTCAAAAAATAACCACGCAGAGCGAAAGAAGTGCTATTTCTCAATGATCGGGTAAAATTTTGAGGCCTTATTTCACGTTTCAATGATTTTATTGAAATTTTTGATGAATCCCCATACATTTCCTTATAACAGGACACCACAGAAACCAAGCTTGGGCTACCTGTGTTTTTAGGTATTGATTGTAACATGGCTTCCATTACATTACATTACACATGCAAAACCTCTATATGATCATTTGTATGAGTAACACCACAATTCAACAAACTACAGCTAAAATGCTTAAGTATATCAATTAAAATATACTTCCTTTTTCCCAACCCTTTTTAGTAGTATATCCAAGAGTGGTCCCAGGAAACCCATAGTAGAATGATGCTGAACCCCCTTTGTAAACCTGATCATGCCAGCCTTTTCTGTGCAGCAGTGATTTTGGAGCCATGCACCCTTTTTAAAATGATGGACCCATTAGCTTTGGGCTGCTATGCAGATAAGGCTATATACTCCAATACTATCCCCTTACAGTCTTCATTTTCCATGTAGACCCCTTGCAGCACTTTAGAGAACAGCTCAATCTGGGGGACAAAACAATAGCTTCCAATTCTCAGGAGATTGGAATTCTTTTGTTTTGTCTCCTAGTTCAAGCTGCTTTGGCGTCACATGCAAGGGGTCTATATCTTGTTCTGATATTCTTCAATACCTTTAATAACACATTCCTTCGCCCACATTTCTTCATTGATGGGAGGTGGTGTCATCACTACAATTCTGTCCACTGATAACCCATGATTAACAAACTTAGATATAATACTGTTCATATTACTGACATATTCATCTATGGTCAGGCTGCGTTCATCCTTGCCTTCAAGACAAGCATCATTTGAACCTAACAGTATCACTACTGCAGCAAGAGATTCCTTGGGTGTTAAGTCATGTTGTAACAAGCTTGGTAGTACGAGTTTGTTCATATAGGCAGATGTATAGCCACTGAACCCACGGTTTAGAACATCACATTTTCTACCAAAAAAAAAAAAAGGAGGCATGCACTGCTTAGCAACTATTGGAAAATGGTAAGGGACTGGTAATAAAGTAAATGGGGGGGGGGGGGGGGGGTCACTTAGGTCACACAATTTTGAACTTCTTGAAAGGGGTTAAATTGAAGCATAAATAGTATCAAAAATAATATAAAACACGAATAAAACCTAATATAATAGTGCCACTTCATGAGGTCTTACATGAAGTACTAACCAATTGGCTGTCTATAAAATTGTACATTACGAGTGGGTCATTTACACTTCCTGCATAGAAACTTTGAGGGCATGTTTTTCCCCACGGTCTGCTTTTATATTGGGCCATGAGAAAAAAGAGCTCCTTTATAATTATCCAGTTTACATTTACAATTTTATTACTAAAAGAAAGCTCATATACATACTATGACTTTTACCTTTGAAAATAATCAGCTAGCACTGCTCCCCAGCCGCCATTACTAAAAGATGACTTGATATTAAAAAAGGAAAAACAAAAGTAAGAAGAGTTTATAGTTGGTTTCTTTGGACGCTTTTTAAAATTCCGAAGTTAGTTCCCAAGTTCTCCAAGTTGGTCGCGATTGTTATTCGTACGGGAGTGCCCAAACTGATAGCGATGAAAACACTGCTAAATAATCTATTTATAATACGTAATGCCCTTATTACATTGAGCAAAGGAATTTAATTGGAATAATTTTACTTACCTGAGTAATGGAATCTCCAAAAAGAACCAGCTTTGGAAACCGCATCTCGACCGCCATCTTGGACGGGAAAACAAAATAAGACTGAAAACTAGTAAACGTTTGCTGCGCGCGACACAGGTAGCCCAAGTCAAGTTTCTGTGGTGTCATGATCAGGATAAGAAAATGTAAGGCGACGAGTTAAAAACTCCAATAAAATCGTCAAAATGAGAAATTAAGCAAATACATTTTAGCTGACCTTTGAAAAGCAGCATCTGTGTGTTTAGATTTTAGATTAAGCCTTTCCGTCCCACTTTTTTTTAATTCTTGGAATAGACAGATTATTTTTTAAGTGTCACATTTTTACTTCCTGGAGAGGGCCGACACTACGACGGCTTCATCTTCTCTTCCCGTAATTCACGTGCACTTTACTTGATGCAAATCGCCTCACCAAACATTATTCTTTTAAGCTATCCACCACTTGGAGATTTTTTCCGATTCTCTTTAATAATTCACCGATCAATTGTACAGCTTTGCTGATAATCTTCAAAGKACACATTTTTACTAGAAATAACCTTTTACTCATATAAAGCTTACATATCACTTTATTTTAGTCTCCCTTCTCTCGATAAAAACTGTCCAAGAAACCGGCTATCATATACTGTGGTTGCTTTATTATATTAATGGATTTTATAAGCTCATGGAAAATATCATGTGTTTGGACAGCATGGAGTTTGATTGGTTAACCGTGACAGTGATAAAAAGCCATTTCATGGTCACAGTACCTGCCTCCCAAAATTATGAATTTGCCTCATTTTCGTACCCAGACCCTAATCATTAGCCATATCGTAGGATTTTAAGTGAAATGAGTAGGAATTGGGTACGAGTGTGGAATTTGCTTTTGAATAGCAAATAGCACGTGGTCACGGTACAATCACACACGGTACTATAACGATCACGGTAAAGGCATGTACACACGGTGCAAAATTACGCGCAATATTGCAGACAATGTTTGTGAAGCAAGAACGTTTTCTTCTTCAGCAAATTGCGTCGTGTGACATGCCCCGCAACATCGATTGCCTGCAACAGTGCGCGCAATGCTGTGACGTTGTCCGCAGCTTAGGTTACGGTATGACCTTACTTTTGGTTTTTAACAGTCATATATAATTTTTTCGACCTTCCTTCAAATCTCGCTTGTCATATCATTTCGTAATAATAAAATGTCTTTCCGGCTTAAGCATCTTAAACATAGTATCAACAGTCGACATATACAATCTTACAAACAATTATTTGAGACTTGAAGGAAGTTCTATTATCTAAGTTCTATTATTTATTTGCAAATTAATCCCGAAAATCTTCCAGTGCATTTGTCAATCCGTAGTTCGAAGTAACATGGCGCATAGGATCGTGGGATTGAAGACAGTAATGTCGTCATCAGATACAGCCCTCAATCCCATGCACGCCAACATCGTAATAGTCTACCGCTGAACTCAGGAAAGGCAAAAATAGGTGCTTCAATAAACTACTACAGAGTGCATACCACATATATCTGTGAAATGTTTTTACAATATTGTACAAATTGGGGCAAAGTTTTGTAGGTCTACGGTTTACTAGACCTTAATAATTCGTCAAGTTTCTTACAAAGTATTTCACGGATATATAGTACTTTAACATGTTAATTCTGAGACGGATAAAGACAAGTGTACTAGGTAATGAGAGGATTGCTCTGGAAGGGAAAGCGATTGGATTAAAAGGCATGACTTAGTTCCTCCTCTACTATGGACATCTCTCACGCACCAGCCATGTTTGCTGACTGACGATTTATTCTCCCCCATGTATCCCGACGAGTTTTCGCAAGCATTTTTCATGCGAATTTACGAAATTTTTTTATATAGATTTTTTCTGATATAGCCTACATGATTTACTGCAGTCTAGCTTAGGTACAAACATCTTCTGTTAATCACGTCTTATATGACGATGTTCAGGTTTGTAAAAAATCTGGACCACGATTCATGTTTTTCGAACTCAGAAAAAGAGAAAATAAACATGGCCGACACGTGATGTAGGTCCGAATGAAGAAGAAAAAACTGTTTCAAAATGGTTTACGCCACCAAACACCTTCCCAGCCGATACCCTCTCTAAAAAAAACGTTTTTAAATATATTTATCTTTGTATGTTTTATTGTCATTTAGCTGCCATAACTGATACTGCGGTTATGGATATTCTGCGAATTCGGTAATTGCTAAATGCTAGCTGAAAAAATATTTTTTTCGCTGCCGTCAATCAAAAATAATCAGTCGGTACCTTTTATGTTCTTGACTGGCGGCAGTGAAAAGCAATTTCAGAACAAGCCGTAGAAATATCTGAGTTCGCAGAATATTGAAAACCGCAGTAAATTCAACAAAAAAATTAGTCTAAAAATTTACGCCATTTTTACATTTACGCGACCCAGACCAACTATAGGTTCTTGGGTGAGCCCTGACCCTTTGGGCTCCGCCAAATTACCGATGAACTGAGTTTGTTTGTTGCTGTTGTTGTATTGTTTTGACAGCAGTCTGAGGTATCTGAAGAAAGGTTGGCGTACTGGTAAGGACGGCTTGCCTCAAATACCCCCACTGCTACCCCGATTTGATTGCTGAACTTGCTGCCTTTCGCGTGAAAAAATTATCTCAGTTCATCTCTTAGTGCCTAGATTTCCTCCCCCTTCTACTTATAGACGAAGGCACTATGGAAACAATGTTAGCCCATTTCCAACCCTGTGTCAATTCTCTCGAAAAAAACACCTATGTTACCACTGTCCTCATTTATTTTCTGTTTTCATTGCTACGCGCTGATCGAGACGACAGTCGCGACATGGAAATCGGGCAATACACTTTCTTCAATCAAATAAGTCGTTTAGTACCTTTACATTATCTGATTGACGGCAGCGTATTGCCCAATTTCCCTCTCGCCACTGTTGTCTCGATCAGCGCGTACCAATGAATTTAACAGAAAATAACCATACATATAGGGAATGATGCTTGGTCTGAAATGGGAAAACAATTAATAGTACGCCAAAATCTATTTCTAGTATTTCCATGTGGTTTGTATAAAGGGATTAGTCCATTTTCAAGTTCCTATAGATATACCGTATAAAATTCAACGACGCGAAGAAAGCAACAGTACCCAGCATTAAGAAGAAGACATAGCAAGCTAACATCGTGTAACCAAAGAACTGGACCGTCTGAAGGACGCCTGACATGTTGGATCGCTTGAAGTAGTAAAACAGTGAGTATCCAAACACGAAGGCTCCTGTCGAACTGTAGAGTAACAAAAAATTGCATCAGCATCATCATCATCACATCATCATCATCATCACATCATCATCACATCATGCATCGCCATCAATATCACATCATTATCACATCATCAACACATCATCACATCATCACCACATCATCATCACATCATTATCACATCATGCATCGCCATCAATATCACATCATCATCACATCATCAACACATCATCACATCACATCATCATCATCATCACATCATGCATCGCCANGCCATCAATATCACATCATCATCACATCATCAACACATCATCACATCACATCATCATCATCATCACATCATGCATCGCCATCAATATCACATCATTATCACATCATCAACACATCATCACATCATCACATCACATCATCATCATCACATCATTATCATCACATCATCATCATCACATCATCATCATCATCACATCATGCATCGCCATCAATATCACATCATCATCACATCATCATCATCATCACATCATCATCATCATCACATCATGCATCGCCATCAATATCACATCATTATCATATCATCAACACATCATCACATCACATCATCATCACATCATCATCATCATCACATCATGCATCGCCATCAATATCACATCATCATCACATCATCATCATCACATCATCACCACATCATCATCACATCATTATCACATCATCA